AAGATGAATATAAATTATAATATGATTCTTCAAGACACTAGGCCATGCAGCCATCTTCAAGATCATCTTTAGACTTTAATCACCAAAATCCTGACAGCTTGAATTTTTTTCTTGTTCACTTGATTATTATTATTATTATTTTTTTTTTACCGGAAGTGTTCAGACCAGTTTACAAGCATCTCAACTAATCCTTTGAGACCTTGGAAATATCGATCGAGTAAAAACTCTAATAGCTACCCCTATTAGCAACCAAGGAGAGATTCAAACTCATAACCTTTTGAGTAATACATCTAAAAGTCTTTATTGAACCACTCGATCATCTAAATGTAGTTATTTGATTATTATTCTCCTTCTTTCTTTTCAAAATATTATCATTATTTTACTTTTAGTGCAATAATATTAATATGTGTAATGGGTAACATAGTTTCTCAAAATTATAATTAGAAAAATATCAAATTATTGACTTTAACACAAATTTTATTACTTATCATAACAAAAATATTAGAAAACAGATATAGAAAAATATTTTATGAATTGAAAATATTTTTATTATATAAATCTTCTCAACCACTTCCTACCTATAAATAGCTGGCTGGTCTTGGAGTACTTGTTATGAAAATTAAAATGTGAAAAAAAAAATACTNGTAAAAGCACTAATTTTTTTTTTAATCTAAGGTGTCTAGGTCAACTTACATACATCTCGACTAATTATTGATAAAAACTCCGTTTTGACCCTCAACTCCACTAATCCTCGATAGAGACTTGTTATGACTATTTCGTACGTTAGCAAGTGCACTAATCAACAAGTAATAGAGTGATGAAAAAAAAGTGTCGAATCCCACGAGGATTAAATGCTAAACAAACAAATAAATTGACTAATCTTAATTGTTATTTGAGATAATGAAATTGATGATGTGAATTTAAAATAAAAACAAGAATTGCTAGAAATTAAAACAATTAAATAACAAAGACAAATATCTTTATATGATAAAAATGTTAAGGGTTTCGATTCTGCCTAAACCAATGTTGACAGACATGCTATAAAAATTAGATTCAAGAAATTTATTGACCTAAAAATGGCTAAATCCCTCAATTTAACACAATTGTGAAATTCATTAACGTAGGTTCTGCTCCCGCTTAAAACCTAAACTGACCACATAAACCTCATAAGACTCCCAAGTATCCTACTCAATCTATGATCTAGGCTATTTTAATGACCTAAAGTGATTTCACCGCCCGGTTTATCATCACATCAAAAAAACAATTGAACACAATGAAACCCTAATCAAAAGATTTCTAATCAAACTTCACCGCTTGGTTCATCATTCAATAAGAGCCTTAAATAATTAAAGAAACATCATATCCAAAAGCATTAAGCAAATCACACATATTCTTGTAGAACAATAAATTCCTGAATGCTTTAATAAAATTGAAAATCAAGTCAACATGGTTTGGTAGAATCTACCCCTTAACAATAACAATCTACTCCATAATCAAAGTGATAACAATCAACATCAGTTTTGAACTCATCATCATAACAATTCCAAACTGATGCATAAAAATAGAGTAAGAGAAAACAAAAACTGAAATCTTGAAGAATTGATCTCTAGAAAAGTATTGCGCCAACTTCTCTCGAATGAATGTGCTCGCCTCTTTCCTTTGATCTCCTCCTCCTCTTTGATGTCTTTTTTTTTTTTTCAAAACCCTAGCCTCCTCTCCTATGGCTAAGGACCTCTCTTTTTGGTATTAAAGTCATGAGGGTATTATGGTAAAAAGCCACACTTAAATTAAAAATACATGATAACAAATCTACTTGTCTTTCATGCACTAACATATATTTTGGCTCAATTTTTAACCATTTTCTAAGCTGAAATGGATCACGATCAAAACACAAAAGTTGTAGCTCTGTGTCTTATCTTTCTAATCGTTCAAGAATTATCCCAATATGGGGTCTAGAGCTCACGTTATGGCAAAAAAACTGATGCATGTTCAAAGACGTTTTTCTTCAGTTCGCAACGAGTTGTTCACAACTTCAAGTCAAGTTTTCATCATCTTTCAGTCAGAATAAGGAATAAACCCAAACATGAAAGTTGTAGTTCTGCTTCTTAACCTTTCATAGCTTCTAAATTCAGGTCATTCCGAGTTGAATATCTCAAGTTATGTAATTTATGCTTAACACCGTCATTTATGCTCAAAATCATCATTTATGCTTGCAAAGTAAAATTAGTTATGTAGCAATTATAACCCAAACTATATGAGAAGTATCTCATATCCTATTGAAATTCAATACAAAATCACCATGAAAAATAGGATTATCAAGACTAGTGTAGCAACCCACCGTCATAACCCCCAATTAAATTTTGGGAGCACCACAATCCCCCACTTAAATTTTGGGAGTCAAGGGATTCAAACCTGAGATGATGTACCTTAACTATACATCTCAACGATTGTCCTACCACTTGAATTACCCAAGGGTGGGGTAAAAGCAATAAATGTTTGAAGCTGAAAATTTTAAGCACTCTAAAAGAGCCAGCCCCACAAATCTCAATGTGTTATTGCATCAAACAATAATAATAATAATAATAAAGAGTAAACGATATGTTCCCACTCGAGATTTAGCGAAATGACAAGTTGATATCTCTGGTTTCATTTATTTCAGACTCTTACCCTTAAATTAACACCGTTTGCTAAAATGGTTATATACATTGTAGCGTGGCGCACGTTAGCATGCTAAAGTGCATCAGTGCTTTCTTTGGCAGGAGATATGCTCACATTAGTAGCATCCAAGCTAACGGTTTTTGGCTTTCTTTGGCCGATTTCGAAGTCCAAAATCACTTTTGAGACCATTGTTAGACTCCCCACAATCTCCTCTATAAAACTCATACCTTCACTTGCCGACTTCACTCACCGTTTCTGAGTCTCCGACCACCTCCATTCTTGCCACCTTGTGAGATTGAGTTACTTTTCAAGCTTTTTCCAATCCATTTGGGTAACCTCTCTAGACTTCACCACCAACTTCTCTGCCATCAGCTAATTGTTGTGATGTGTCTTTTGGCCATTGGTGACTCCCTAATCACCAGAAATCGAAGCCCAACTTAGTGCCCATAACCTGCTCGATTAAAGTCCTCACCCAGCTACTGCCTAGAAGCCAATCCTATAACCACCAAATTAACAGTGTTACTTTAAGGGTATGAATCTAGAATAAATGAAGTAAAGGGTATCAACTTGCCATTTTGCTATGCCACAGGTGGGAAGATGTTGTTTACACTAATAATAAATCATGTTCTACATCGTTACCGAATAAGATTCTAAGTTATTTTATCCGTCCATTATTACTTTTAGACTTTAATTTAAATGACATGCAAAAAATGATATATATAAGAAGAAATTAAAGGCCACATAATAAAAAGATGAATATAAATTATAATATGATTCTTCAAGACACTAGGCCATGCAGCCATCTTCAAGATCATCTATAGACTTTAATCACCAAAATCCTGACAGCTTGAACTTTTTTCTTGTTCACTTGATTATTATTAATATTATTATTTTTTTATGACGGGAAATGTTCAAGCCAGTTTATGAGTACCTCAACTAATTCTTCGAGGCCCTGAAAATATCGATTGAATAAGAACTCTAATGACTACTCCTATTAGCAATCAAAGAGAAATTCGAATTTATGGCATTTTGAGTAATACACCTGAAAGTCCTTATTGAACCACTTGATCATCCAAAGGTAATTACTTGATTATTATTCTACTTCTTTCTTTTCAAATTATTATCATTATTTTACCTTTAGTGCAATAATATTAATATGTATAATGGGTATAACATAGTTTCTCAAAATTATAATTAGAAAAAAATCAAATTATTGACTTTAACACAAATTTTATTATTTATCATAACAAAAATATTAGAAAGCAGATATAGAAAAATATTTTATGAATTGAAAATATTTTTATTATATAAATCTTCTCAACCACTTCCTACCTATAAATAGCCGGCTGGTCTTGGAGTACTTGTTATGAAAATTAAAATGTAAAAAAAATAAATAAATAAATAAAATCAACATTATTTATTAACATGGTCCTCCAATCACCCCAATTGGACACGTGTCATATAGATTCGTCCTCAAATAAATGGAATAAAAGAGTCCCTAATTGAGAATTGATGCTTTATGTCTTTTGACTCAGTCGTTCTACTCTTCTTTTGACTCACCTCAACTCTTCTCTCTTAAGTCTCTTCCTTAAAAGAAATTAAAAAAAGAAAAAAAAAGACAATTTTCAATTACTTATTTATATACTTAAATAAAAAAAGAAATAAATTTAATTCATTTTTAATCCAAAAATATTTTTAATTTCGATTTCAATTTGTGATGTGAATTCCAACTGAGAAATTTTATCATTTTTTTTTTATGATCAGGGTGTCTAACCAAGTTCACGCATATCTTAATTAATTTTATGGGATTATAAAATTATCGGTCGAATAAGAGTTCTAGTGATCATCTCTATTAACAACTGATGAGAAGTTCAAACTCAGGAGCTCTTGAGTAATACATCTAACGGTTCTTATCGAGCTACTCAACCATCAAAGGGTTGGTTAGTCACACCCAAAGGAAAACTTAACCATTATCAAAGTAAATCGATAAGTATAAATAATAAACCCTCACAAAATATAGTTGAAATGAAGATTAGGTAAATGTAGTTGAAATAAAACAAATAATTTATTAATTAAGAAATATAATTGAAAAATAAATAATTACTCAAAATTAAATAAATAAAAAGTTTGATTAGAGGAAAGGCATAACAAAGCACTGAGTGGTGGGGCAAAATGATAAAAAAGAGAGGCTGAGTGGGGCATCCGAGTTGCCAGCCGAGTTGATTCAGGGTGTGGGGAGTGAGTCAGACGAGTGCGTTGAACTGGTTTGGCATTAACTTTTTAGGTCAAGTTGGGTTTTTTAAGGTTTAAAAGCACACAGTTTGACTTGAAAATGAAGGAGAAGACAACAAAGAGAGACTGAGGAAGAAGAAGAAGAGGAGAAGAAGAATTAGATCTGAAAACTCATATACTTAAACGTCATATCTTCTTCTGATTGTTTTCACAAATGCCACGCCCTTCTTTTCACAAGCTTATTCTCTCCTCCACCATTAGAGACAGGAAGCTGGTAAACCATGTTTCTTGTTTGTTTGCTTGTTTAATCTTGTTATTTTGAGAAAATTTGGCTAAAGAATATTAAAGGGTAATTGAATTCTGGTCTTTTGTGTGTTTTTTTGTTTCTAGGTAAGTTTTGTTTTGTTTGGTTGATTTCATTTTGGAGCTTAATATATATGTCTTTGAGGTAAAGTTGAAAGCTTTTAACCCAGATAAGAAATTGATCAAGTAAAAATTAGAACTTTTATTAGTTGGGGAGATTGAGTAGAGAAAACGTTTATGAGATTCTGGAAGAATCCAGAAGTTTGTTTTTTGGGTTTTAAGAGTAATTAAATTAAGCTTGTTAAGATGGTTGTGTAAGGGGTGGTTGATTGTATAGTTTTAAGAACCTAAAGACTAGAATAAACATGGAGGAAATGTAGAGAGTTAATTGAACAATTTGATAGCTTGCTTTTGTAAGGGATGGGTTTGGTAAGAACCAGCAGTTTGTTTGGTTGGCTGATAAAGTGGGTAAAGGAGAAGAGGGTATTTTTAAGTTTTTTTTTTTTTTGTTTTTTGTTTTTAGTTTTAATAGGTCTATATGAGTTTGATAAGGAGTGAGAAATCAGATTGATTAGTGGAGAAACTGGGAAATGAGGAAGAAAAGAACTTTAAAGGTCTTTTGGATGTTGAGTTCTTAAGCACCTTGATCATAATCTGCACTGGGATTGTTCCGGAAAATGTGGAAAGTGAATTTAAGATAACTATGTAGTAATGAATCTTTATGCTCTTTTGTTTTTGTTTTTTTGTTTTTTTTGTCCCCTTTGCATATTAGAGAAAATCTATCTCGGCAAATTTTTCCCTAAAAAGCTTATTATTTATATTTGCAGAAATGGTCCATAGATCTGAATTTGTTGATCCTCTCATTTTACCATGGAAGTATCGTTTCTAATAGTTAGTTTCAACCATGAGTTCAACTGTTTAAATCCTCTTGAGGTCACTTACTTGGTAGAATGCTAACTTGGGTAATTCTACCAAGGGTCTAAAAGTAGACCCAACTTGGTAAACACGTAGGAAAGGTCAAGACATTTTTAGGTATTATAAGAAAAAATTGTATTTGCTTGTGATAACCTACCTGCTTCAAGTTTGCATATGTATTTCTAAAAATTAAGTAACAGGATGGACATATATGTCGTGAAAATATCCAATTGATATCTCAGACCAGTATTTTCATCACAATATATGAATCTTCATCTGCAATTTATATCATGGGCATGTCATTCCCTGATTATGATACTTCGAGATAAATACAGTCTAACTTTATTTGGGTACCTGCAGAGGATTCCAGAAAACTTTGTCAAGAAGTTCAAAGATGAGCTTTCCGTAGCTGCTACTCTTATGGTTCCTAATGGTAATGTTTCGCGTGTAGGATTAAAAAGAGTTGACAACAAAATTTGGTTTAATGATGGCTGGCAAGAATTTATGGATCGTTATGCTATCCGTATTGGGTACTTTTTGGTCTTCAGATATGAAGGGCATTCATCATTCAACGTTCACATATATAATTTGCCTTCTTCTGAGATTAATTATCATTCAAATCCTTACAGTAGAACCGAAGTGCTCTATCATAGCAAACAATACCGTATATTTGAAGAAATGGAAGATGATGACTTGGAATTTGTAGATCATTCAACACTGAACAAAACTTTCAATCCACCGGCACTTCAGAATTTGCTCACTAGTTCCAAATACAATAACAGCATACATTATGCTGGTGAAGCAAACCTACATAGATCAAAAGGTTCTGGCATTTCGTAAGCTGAAAATAAGTTTATGAGTGATTTAAGTATTCTGTTTAATACTGTTGATCTTAAGAAATTTATTTAAATGCAGTGACATTGTATTCGCCAGATGGAGAATTAGAAAGGCTTAAAAAAGCTGGGAGAAAAAAGCGGAAGATCGATCCTAGTAAGATCTTTCAACATAGATTTTTGTGTAATGGTGTTGTGTCATAATGATTCAAATTTCTCATCAGAACCATCAAAGTGCAGATAATCAGGATTCATCGGTTCAATATGAACATGAAGGAGAAATGCGCTTTAGATTTTATGAAAGTGCTTCGGCAAGAAAGAGAACAGCTACAGCTGAAGAAAGAGAAAGGGCAATAAATGCTGCCAAATCTTTTGAGCCAACCAATCCTTTCTGCAGGGTCGTCCTGCGACCGTCTTACTTATATAGGGGGTGTATTATGGTCGGCTATTAAATTTCACATGCTATACATGTCTTTCCAATTGCACATCATAATATTTCTTAAATTGTGATTACTTTCTTGCTTGTGCAGTATCTGCCGTCCTGCTTTGCTGAAAAACATCTAAACGGGATTTCAGGATTCATTAAGTTACAGATGTCCGATGGGAAGCAGTGGCCTGTTCGATGTCTATATAAAGGAGGCAGAGCTAAGTTCAGTCAAGGTTGGTATGAATTTACCTTGGAGAATAATTTGGGGGAAGGAGATGTTTGTATCTTTGAGGTGCTTAGGGTGAGGGATTTTGTGCTGAAAGTAACTGTATTTCGCATCATGGAAAGTACAGGATATGTGAATCGACTGCCACAATAAGTTTCTCTGAATTGAACCCCTTTTGACAGTGGATGTTTCTGTCCTTGTTTTGAAGCCCTGTCAAGTAACCTGTCTTTTTCAAGTGATATGTTTCTGATCCGTCTTAATGTGTCCATAAATTTGTGTGTACAACTTACTGGAACTTTTACTAGTCTAGGGATTTCTATACAAAAGTTTTCTTGGCTCCATTTGTGTTTGTATATAGACTGTTCAATTAAGTTGACAATCAGCTGGACTGGAACAAAGGATCTTAATCCCAGTATGATTCATATCTTGTCAAGTTTGAAGTTTCCATTTATCACTTGTGTTCTATCTAGTTTCATGAAGGGGTCATTGGCCTGCATGCTCGCGACAATGATGTTGTTTTACAGTATGCACGAATCTGAAAGCTCTGTTTGTTGATCAAGTTTGATGTAAATTTTTTGTGTGTGGAACATGTAGCTTTGTCCAAACATTAAATCCTTGGAGGATTGAAGACTGAAATATATGAATGTACTTCCAGGGTAAAATTATCCATTACCAAATCTGCTAAGACTATCAGGGCACAGAACTCAGAAGTAATGAAACCTCATTTATGTTGTGCAGGACAGATGGAAGTGAAATACACAATTACAAATGTTCATGAGGGGTGTTCAAAACGGTTAACTGAATTTGTGAATCGAACCAGTTTTTTGGTTCAGGAATTTTTCTGAACAGAAACCGAATTGGTTAAGGGGAAAACCGGTTTTTCGGTTAACGAATTAGTAAAAGCTGGTTAACTAGTATTTAATATTTAATATTTTATTTAATTTATTTATAATAAATTGGTTTATAATTAATCGGTTCCTATATTCTCGTAAACCGGAAGTTGAACTGAAAAATCGGTTTTTGTATTTCTTTGAACCGAAACCGTTCGGTTATCGGTTCGGTTTGATTTCTGCATTTTTTTTAACACCCCTAATGTTCATAGAGATTGAATGGAGATCAGATTAGGATTTTTAATTTGTATAATTGTAAAATAAGGAAAAACATGGTTTCAGGATTATGATGAAATTTGTTATCCAGATATTGCGAAAAACATAATGTAAAACTGAAACATATCCAAATATTCTTTCAAATTTTAAACATGATAAACTTAACCTTATAAATTCTTATTTTCACTTCACAGAATAATGTTTCAAATGTAAGATTAACTTTTAACTACCAACTACAAGCATTTCATTTTAAAAGTGATTGCTAAATATTTTCTAGTTTCAAAACACATTTTTACTGATTTTTTACTATTGGTCACCAAAAAGAACTCATAATGAGCCTAGGAACTCTCAATTATCAGAGAGTATTTGTACCAAAGTAACCTGCCCCAGAGTTTTCCTGCATAGTAATCATCGAAAATGGTTCTTGATGATGGTGAGCAAACAACTTCCAGGGTAACTAAAATATTGTCACATTCCATGGAGCCATATTTGCAGGACAAAAAGTCTTGCATATTTCACAAGTTAATTGTGGCCTCCATTATCCAGGACAGGAAGCTTGTAAGTTTTTCACTTTCTTGTTTCTACTCATTCATTAACTCTTTCTATTTTGTTTGGTTGCTGAGAAAATTGAGTAAAAAAAAAAAAAAAAAAAAAAACAAGTTTTAGGGGGTCTATGCTTTTTTTTTGTACAAAAATGGCTTTGAGCATGCACTTTATTTCTTGAAGTTTAAAGGACTTGAAACTTGGAACTTTTTCTGGGTAATCTTAGAAGATTGAGAATGTCCATTTGGTTGAACCTTAATTTGTGTTTTCACTATACTTCTTAAACTTTAAAGGCCTTCAGCTTGAGCTTTGGATTAAGTGATCTTTTTTATGTAGCTAATATACTTTATATCCTTTTAGGTCCGACTTCTCTCTTCCAATAATTTATTTCATTATGTCACAAAAAATTCCTTGAACCCAAACTCCAAATGAGGCCCCTGCAAAATATTTTTACTCCAATTTTAGGGCACCCTTTTATTTTCTTTCTTTATCTTTTGCCTTCAATGATGCTTTTCTCTGTTCTTTACGTTCTTCATTTCTTTCTTTTAATTTGTCCTTATAAGATTGTCTTTCCTTTTCTGTACATTTTTCATTTTGGCCTTGATGTTTATATGGGATTATATTGTTCTACCTTGCGTTGGAAATCTTAAATGGTATCCGGAATAATTTGAAATTGGCCTGCAGTTTTGCTGGTCTTCTGAAATCTGGTTCTTTAAAATCCCAGAATATGGTTGAAGATATGAAGATTGCACAGGGCCTGCAGTTTATCAATTTCGTGACACAATGTTTCCTTTGTCCTGGAAACTACACAGCTAATTTACAAGAAACCTTTGTAATTCCTAATTTCACCTCAACAATGGTCACATTTGCTATTCGGGAAATAACTTTTCCATGCATTGTCATGGTTGTAATATTTTGCACTTCATCAAATGTTGCTTTACTGTTTTTCAGTTTGTCACATTATTAGGATGGCTATCTCATTCTACATAATCTTTTGTTGCAAATTCATCTTCGAACTAGATATTGAGATTGTTCATGATAAATTGATTTCATGGAGATTCATTAATTGATTTTTTTTTTTTTTTTTCACTTCACTGGCAGAGGATTCCTGATAGGCTCATTCAGAAATTTGGAGATGAACTTTCTTCTATCGGAAAACTCACAATTCCCAGCGGTCGTGCCTGGTTAGTAGAATTAAGAAAAGATAATCACAAGTTGTGGTTTGATAACGGTTGGCATGAATTCATAGAAGATTGCCCCGTTCATGTTGGATATCTTTTGGTCTTCAAATATCAAAGGAATTCGAATTTCAATGTGCATATATTTGATTTAGCAACTTCTGAGATAAAGTATCCATTGGACACTTGTAGTCGCTTGGAAGAACCTAGTCATGTCAAGCAATGTCCCCTTGAGGAACATATAGAAGATATCAACTCTGTTGAAATATTGGCTTCAAGCCCTTCGTGCCCAACTCCTAGTTCTTCAATAAACAAGGCTTTTTATGAAAGCATATGCTACAGCTGGAATAACAACTCTAAATTTGGGATTAGTTCAGAGAACTTGCATCCAGTAGAAAAAGTGTGTCATTTGGAAGCAACGTCTCACTCTACTCGAGATGTAGGAACACAGCTCAATTATAGTGAGCTGACTGCTGTAGATGAAGTTGATTTGCATTTCGGTGGTGTAACAGGAGGACAACTCACTAGATCCGGACAAAGAACTGACCCCTGTAAGCTCTGTGAACTTAGGCACCTTATTTATATGCATTCTCATTGGTTTCATTATCTCTAATGTGTCGAAAGTGTACATGAGTCATTAGGCAAACAAAAAGTGGAAGCAGAGTTGCATGACAGAAAACTTTCTTTGAAAGCATCTATGAAGAATTGGAGAGCTGTAACCACTGTAAAAAAGTGGAAAACAGTTTGTGCAGCTGAATTGTTCAAGTCTGATCATCCTTTTTTCAGGGTTACCTTGCGACAATATAACACACGTAAAGGTTTTGTATATTTGGTGAGGCTTTTGATCTGAATTCCTTAAAAACACAAATTTTCAGTTCAGTTTAGTATTCTGTGTTTTAATAAGAGAAAATATTTTTGTTTTTGCAGCATGTTCCAGCCACATTTGCTCGAAAGTATCTAAATGGTTTCAGAGGACATATCACACTTCTGGATTCAGATTGCAACCGCCAGTGGCTTGTCCAATCTCGTTCTAAGGATCGTAGAGTTGATTTGTACAAGGGTTGGTCTATATATGTAAGGGATAATAATTTGGAAGAAGGTGATGTATGTGTCTTTGAACTGATTAGGACAAAGGATGTTGCTCTAAAAGTCACCATATTTCGAGCTCTCGAACACACAGAATCTATCAGTAGGCCAAACTAGAACAATTACTAATCAGATGTTTGGTTGAGGTGAACAAAATTCAAGAAACAACATTTTCATGTGAAATTTTGCTGTGCATTGTGTCTCCTTTGGTTATGGTTATGTGCAATAAAGAAAATCTGATGTCTTAAGTTCTTAACCTGATTTCATCCCGGGTTCGCTGTATCAATGTCACTCTGCACATGTTAACTGAACTTTTCTGGTATTCCATGTTTTAATGCAAGATAGTCCGTATACTTTTTTTTAACTTGGTGAATGATACAAGCTTTGTTACTAAACTAAGACTTCATTGAGTTCCTAATTCTGAAAATTTGATAACCATATTGACAACAACTAATAAAAGTTAAAAAGTGTTGTATGTTTTAGATATTGGGATTCGCATTGGACCGTGTTGGTGCTTGATTTTGATACTAACGACTCGCACGTGCAAAGTGTTAAGTAGTTCTTAGAAATTATACGTGAATAAATATGATAATATGATGCAAAGATTGAACAATTAATAAAAGATGATTTTTAAATTGGTTTGGATGCTTAACACAAGTCCTACGTCCACTATTCTTTTATATATGAGAGATTACAAGAGATCGCAAATAGCAAACAGTAAGCAAATGTACAATGACTGATTATTTAGATAGAATATCAAGTTAGTCTCGTTCTCGCAGGTTATCTTTGCTCTGAAGATATAGATTACAATCAAAGTATGAGTTTTTTGTATCAGAATCCCCAAAAATGAGAAGGGGAGTGCTTTATTTATAGTAGAGGAATTCAAGGTAATGATTATAAATTTGCAAGTGGGTAGGTGTGATGCAAGTCCTTCCTTGCCTCCCATTAGCCGATAATTTAGGATATATCCTTAAGTTACTCGAGGCTTGGACAAGTTTGCGGCTCCCATTCACTTATAGACAAAACCTAAATCTGTCAAGTTGGTGACAGCTATATTCTCTTTGTCTTGGGGTGACGTGGCAACCTCTGGATGGCGCAAAGCCTTCCTGAACTCTGATTGGAGCTAGCTGATGTAGGTTTACATCAGCCTTGATTTTTTAGACATAACAGATAGAAAAATGTTTTATCAACCGCATGGAATGATAAAAGTAAATATTATCAGTAAACCTTTGATGGATTGAAGTCTATAAGATATGAATGTACTTCCAGGGGAAGATTAGCCATTACCGAAACTATTAAGACTTCCAGGGTCAAACCAAATTAATAATGTAAGAAGTAATGAAACCTCATTTATGTGCAAGATGGTTGGAAGGAAAGTAAGAATTACAAATGTTCATAGTGTGTGATTGGAGATCAAATTATGAGTTTTGATTTTTGTGATTGTATAATAAGCAAAAACATGGTTTCAGGTTCATAGTAGTGTTGGTAGTGATAGAATTTGAGGTAGATCTGACTCTTCACCCAATAAAGTCTTATTAGGAGAAAGTTGTTTACTTAAAAAAAATACCATGATAGATTTTGAGGAGTCAAGGCCTTTTTAAAAACCTGGCTCTAACTCTTCACTCGTTGGTCAAACACTTCGCTCAACTGAACCTGGTTCTGATACTATGATAAAATTTAAAGTGAGTTTGACTCCTCACCTAATAAGATCTTGTTGGGTGAGAGGATTACCACTTTTTATAAACAATAGGCTTAAGCGTGCCTAGTCGGTGTGGGATTCCAACATAGGAAGATCTGTATTACTGGTTTCTTAACATTGATATATTTGAATTAAACTTATGTGTTAAGAAACCCTAAAAAATTGACAAACATAAAAAAAGAAAGTGTATAAAATAAAAAATAAATATAGAATTTAATTCTTCTAGAGGGTTATGTTTATATGAGCCGACCAAGCAAACAAATACTGTGAGGCATAATAAAAGTGAAAATCTGAACGCTAAACAATTGGCTTGTTCCAGGAGATCACAGCCAGTCATGTCCAATGCTTTTGAATTGGAAGAGACGCCCTCCCATTTTTTCAAGGTCATCCTCTCCTCTACCCTGGAAGATAAGAAGCTGGTAATTCTGATTCACAGAACTTTCTAATCTTCCTTGTTTAACAGAGATTTTTTGGCTAAAAATATGATCTGGGGTCTAATTTTTGTTGTTGTTTTGGTTAATTTTGTGCTTCTGGGACTTACAAAGTTTATGTCGACTCTCTAGAATTGGTGTTGGTTGATGTTGCAGTCGTCTATTTTGTGATCTGTTTGAACAAGTAAAACAACATTCTTTAATGCTTTGGTTTCATAAAGATTTGTCTTCTTGTGAGCTTTTGGTACCAAAAAAGTTCACTTTTTAATGTACCCTTTAAGGAATAGGTCAAGATTTTTACTTTCTTGAGTTCCACCTTTGATTGTAATTGTTAGATTGCCATCACTAGAGAGAATTGCTTCAATGTTAACAATGAAAAATATTTCATATGAAATCTCTGTGCGGACTAGCTGCACCTGGATAGAACGACCCCATGAAGCTTTACAGTTCCCTGGGACTGGCTTTGGGCTTTTCCTGCGCAGCTTAGGTGGAAGGTGAAGAAAGCCTCTTTCCGGGGGGGCCCGAGCCATCAGCAAGATACCACTCTGGAAGAGCTAGAATTCTAACCTTGTGGTGTGGTTCCTCTACGCCTAAGACACGAGAATATCGAACCATGAACGAAGAAAGGCATGGGAGAAAAGCATATATTGGCGTGGTTTTGTTGCCTACATTTGCTTCACAACTGACAACCAACTCTTTTTAGTAGCATATCTATTCAGTCTCAGCTGATTGCCAAACACTTTGATTGTTTACAAAACTAAAATTTTGAACTGCAATTTCAGGGAAGAATTTCTTGAATTGCTAAGAATTTCGCTTGTTTTCTAATTGATCCTCTAGCTTTATTTGTGTTACCGCAGATGATTCCAGGAAAGTTTGCCAGGAAATTTTGGAGTGAACTTTCTGGTGTTGCTAAACTGAGAGTTTCCAGTGGCCTTGTTTGGCAAGTGGGGTTGACTAAATATGCGAGAAAAATTTGGTTCAAGGATGGTTGGCACAACTTTGCAGAAACCAATTCAATCAAAATTGGGTATTTTGTGGTCTTTAAATATGTGAAAAATTCAACATTCGATGTTCTTATATTTGATACAACTGCTTGCGAGATTCAGTATCCAAATAACCGTGGAGAACCAGGAAATAAAAAGCAGAAAATGAGCCATAAAGCAAGGCCGTCTGAAGCTTCAGTTTGGAGCTCTAAGTTTAAGCAAGGCCATGAGCCACCACCAAGAAAGAAGAGTAAAATGGAAGAGGAGGTGATGCAGAGAAATGAGTCAATGCATGACGGGAATGAACACGACTTTATGAATTTACTTGAACACATGGGAATCTTTTTGACTGAAAAATGTAGAGCTTATGTTTCAGCCGAAGAAAGAAAGAGAGCAATCAACATTGCCAGATTGCTTAAGCCAAAAAATCCTGCATTCATGACTATCTTGCAGTCAAGTTACCTTTATACACAAAGGCTGGTAAGATTTTAAAACAATTCTGATAGCAGAACTGCTCTTTCATTAATTTTAGCCTTCAATATACAGCTTAGTTGTAATTCTCATTGCTTTTTTTATTTTTGCAGTATGTGCCAAGCAAATTTGCTAACAAGTATTTGACTAGAGATGTCAAATTTGTCAAACTACAACTTCCGAATGGATCAGAGTGCATGATAAAAATCTGTTGGAGACTTTTTGGGGGTTTCAATTTAACAAGAGGGTGGGCAGAAATTGCAAAGACCCTGAATTTGGAGAAAGGAGATATCTGTATCTTTGAGCTAATCAAGAGGGAGGACTTTCTACTAAATGTTTCAGTATTTTATGCAACTAAAGAGTAAAAACAAGTGATTAGGTGGTATGCTGCATTGCAAATTATTATGGATTATAAATTTTGATTTTTCGGGTTTTTGTTACGTATTATAATATGTTTAAACCAACCCTTGGGTGGTCAGACAGTCAATTGAGACTCTTGGGTATATTACTCAAGAGGTTTTGAGTTCGATTCTCCTCGGTTGCTAGTAAGGGTGGTCACTAAAGGATTACCTGATCGTTAGCTTCAAGGTCTTGGGTATAATCATTAGGTAGTTATGACACTCATACATGATTCTGTCATATGTAAAGCATAGAAGTAGCACATGATATGGGCTTGAAACTCTATTATGTGGTGGAGGGAGTTCCCCATTTAAAGCACTTCCTGCAGGCTGCTTAGAAAGAAATATTAAATGACTCAAAAATCTTAGCTTTGAGTTCTGGACTCAAAATTTTCTGATATAATAATGTTATAACAAGAGTTGACACAGTGCAGGGAATGAAAAACCATTGAGATGAAAATTCTATGAAAAACCATTGAGATGAAAATTTAGTACAATATTGGAACAAGGACAAATTCAACCAAGGGAGAAAATTAATGGTATGCTTGGGAGTTTTTTTCCGTGGTTTTGGGGGGTTTTTAATTAGATTAGTTTTGAGGTGTTCTAAAACCATTATTTGCTAGATTTTTTATGCACTGGTTTTGACTAATTCAAAAACCCCCCAGAACTAGTGGAGTGTATTTTTGAGATGTTTATAAAACCCTCCAAATTGAGGTGTTTTGGTTGGTTTTAAAATTTTATTCCACAAATATCCTATCCACTACAAAACTATCACAATTATATCCAAAAATCATTATTGCCAATAAAAAACGCACAAAACAAAGGAAAGAGAAAAAGACTTGACTTCTTTTCATTCGATTGTTCGTTTTTCAACTTCTTCAATTCTCTCAATAAGGTCTGTTTCTCTCTTGTTTTTTGTTTGGGTTTAATGGCATATCTGTCATGCTTAAATAAGTGAATGATCCTTCGTTTTTTTGGTAGAATCATTAAGGTTTTTATTTATTTATTTATTTTATTATTGGGATATTTTTATAGGCATATATGTAAATTTATCATTTAAAAAAAACTATTAAAATTGTTAAAAAATAAACTTCCAATCGCAGGTTAGGTATTTTAAAAACTGCAACTAAAACCTTCTTAAAAACCGTTACGGTGGTTTACCTTTATAACCTCTACCATGAAACCCTCAACAGAACCTGAGAAATCAAAGAAAGATTAATAAAATGGATACATTCCAATTTCATTGATTATTTAGAATGTGAAACATGGCTTCACAAATATTACAAGGACCATCATCGCCATTTCTAAACGTGATCATTA